ACGAGAGCAGTACGGTGTACGTTGCTGAGGTTTGCCTGATGGTCGGCGGGCATCGCAACAGCCGTCTTCGGCTCAAATGTGGCTGTGGACGATCATACACGCCACTTCAGTGAGTCGAAGCTCTCGCTGCTTCCTTGGCTGGTCAGGTGAGCTGAAGCGAACAAAATGCCTCACTTCGGCTGCCGGAGAAACCACTAACTTTTGCAGGCGGGCGTGAAGGTTTTTTGCCAACCTGACGATAATTGGTCGGATGCATTCGCAATTCTGGATGTAAAGTTTGGGCCTCTAGACTTGAAACACTTTAAGTTTATTAGCTCTGCCTTAGTTATGGAATAGTGGTTACGGACAATTATGGGGGAATTATATTCGTTCTAGGTGATCGGGTATTTCTTTTAATGCACTTAAGTGAGGGAGGGACCATGTGGTTTGATAGCGCACTGGATAACAGCTCGGGCCAGTACGCGGAAGGTCAATGGTTCGGTTTCCTTGAGGATTTCATATCGTGTACAAGTTGTTTGAGGATGAAAGCTTTCAATCTCGAATCCAGCACCTTGAAGACGATTTCAATCGTATTCATAATTCTGCGACAAGGCCACAAAACTGTCGTTCCATGTGAGTCAATACTGAGATCAAGCAGATCGCTTGTAGATCTGCAACAGCAATGATTCATTTTGAATAGGCATTGAGAAATGGCAAGTTCTTTCATTAAAGTGCTGAGTTACTATAGAGCAGTAGACAGCGGTCCTTTACCCAGCAAGGTCCATGAACAGCCTCAACCGCAAAATCTACCCTCCCCGAGCTTTATTCGTAAAGTGGGAAATCACAAAGGAACGTTTAACTACGGGCTAATTACGGGCATGGAGAGAAAAAGTAGGGGTGATGACTGTTGGTGTTGCACGGAACAAGTCGCTAAAGAGAAGACTAGAGCATTCTTTCGAATTCTTGATTCCTTAGACGCTTCTTCCTTGGATGCCTAGAAATCTTCCACCGCCAATCATGGAATATAAATTGTACACGCAAAAGTTTTTGGCCATAAAATAGATTTTACGGGGATCAAACCTCATGAGATTCAACTTTCTCAATAATTGCCATGTTTATTGATCCAATACAGCATATTATATATCAGTTAATAATACAATTAATTGTCTTCATAATATTTAAGTTGTGTTAGGCGAACGCTGAGCCATAAAGTGACTACCCATCCCGTCTTGAAATATTGCAGATCCGATCAACAGGATATGGCTGATGAGAAGACTAGTACGCTGAGATGCGCACAAGCACTCACCAGTTCAAGTCAATTACACATCAATAAAACGAGGTAATCACTTGGGTGGAAATTCGGAAAACATCGTCTTCACCTTCAGAATACAATCTTATGTCAGGAACATTCTAGGCCTTGTTAGTAAACATCAGAAATGATATTCAAGAAACTCGGAGATGCTAGGATACAGAAAAAAATTGCATGGAGAATGCTCAATCCAAACAAAGAGAAGGGGCAGAGATAGTAAGGGACAGACAGACCTTTTTTGGCCAGCACAGCTAGAGGGCCGAATAGGTAGGCAATGAGTGGATTATCTATTCACGAGGTATATCACATTCATGTTGTTGTAAAAAAAAGTTAAGGGGCCGCAAACAATTATTGCGTTTGTTGCGTATGCCAACGTTTCTTGAACATCACTTCGTAAATAAAACTAGCACATACATAAACACCTTGGTATGTCATCGAATGCACTGGAGGCAAATACACGTACTATACACTTATAAGGCATATTAGAGCTCGTCTTCTACCCAGCTCGAATTCACATCGTCCTCGTGTTCCGACAGAGTTTCTTGCAGGGAACGAAACTTTTCGCGTAAGGCGTTCGCTAGATAGTTGCCCTATAATTGATTAGTGACGAATCGAAATCAAATCACTGAGTTTGCAGAAAAGAATCGAAAATAAACAACAAAGAGTACCAAACCTCGTCGTTTGGCGTTAGCTTCGATTGTCGAACCACAGGTGTTCCACCTGGAGATCTGAAAGCGGCTTAATTTAAGGAACTATACGAATGAAGACGACTTTTAGTGCGAAGTAAGAAATATTTCAATGTGATGACTGTAAAAAATTGCCGTTTGCCTCTCTCACTCAGAACCTGCCCCTGTAAGTGCGGAACCTCGATAACAAAAACAATAATCATTTCGTTTTGCTGATATAGCTTGTGCTTCACGTAAATGAGACCAATCAAGTGTTGGATGGTGCAGAACGTAGATAAACATAATCATAACGAAGAAACCTCACATTGCAAGACTTTTTCTGCCGGCCGTATGAGTTCCGGATTTACTTCATAGTATCAAACGCTGGACAATATTTAACTAAATAGGTGCCATGAAGTGAATTTAGAAACGACAGTAATTGATAGGAAGAGTCAGATCAGACGCTATTTCATGAGACACAGCGCCAGGAACCAAATTTTGAAAAAGAAATCGGTGTTCTGCTACTATACTATATTGCTTCTTTTATAGCCGTACAGTCATCTAAACTACGTAGAATTTATTAGTGGCTTCCTGTGAGGACTATATAAAAACTCCGATTTGGTTTTTTCAGGACACAACAATGGGCCACTTTGTCATATCTGCCGTAACTGGAGATGGTGAACGATCATAAAGTAATAATATTCAATTTACTGAAATCACTGAGGATGCACTGGAACAGAAAAACGCAGGAAACGTGATTTGATTGAATTCGTTCAACTTGCCTCACAGTATCCGTTTTCTTCATTCCTTCATTTATTCAGTCCTTTATGACATGTCGCTTGCATGCGACATGTCATAAAGGACTTATCTATCTGAGAATTTTAACTAGGGAACAGCATTTATAGGAAATTTTCAGTCCCGATGTAAGCACGCAGGAATAGACCTCCAACGCTAGCGCACCGGACGACTTATATATTGTAGAAATGGCAAATTCCTTTCACCTTGTGATGCAACACCCATTTGGTATGTTAAGGAACGAC